TTGAGCCTTAGCACTAACCAGTCGTCTCCTATTGACTCTTTATGTTCTCTCTATCCCACTTCTCATTTTCTATTTGATTTTGTGATCTAATAAATGTAGAAATTTGTACATGTGCCGCGGTGCATAGAGAACTCCACATACATTTGGAATCTCTCTCCGTGCCATGGCCCGCTTAAACACTAATCTAGCCCTCTTCTACGGCTGTCCAATGATCCATAAGCTATATTAGTCTCCCAAAAATAACATTAATCAAAAATTCATTTAATTTGACTAACATACCCTTATAAAACATTGAAAATTCTCAAAGTTAAAATACAGGATGTTATTAGTCGCATCAATCTGGTTTTGATGGTCACTATTAGACCAGTCCTGGTAGAAGCCAATCATTCAATCCCAGTGGCCACCATTGGTTAGATCTTGATAGAAGTAGACCGTCTGATCCCCGTTGTCACTATCGATCCTATCCAAGTAAAAGTCAGCCATTCGGTCCCCCTAGTTACTGTCAGTCCAGGCCCTATAAAAGTTGGCCTATCGGTCCCCATTATTATCATAGATATGTCCTAATAGAAGTAGGCCATCAAGTCTCCATGGTCGCCGTCGGTCGGGTCTTCATCATCGTCATCGGTTTGGTTCTAGTGGAACTCGATTGGTCGGGCCCCTTATCAAAGTCAATCAGTTCTAGTAGAAGTCGGCTGTCCTGTCCCCATCATCGCTGTCTATCTTATCCTGGTGGAACTAGGCCAGCTTGTCCCCATCAGTTCGCTTCTAATGAAAGTCGGTCGGTTAATCTATATTGTGGTCATTGATCCAGTCTTGGTGGAAGTCAGCTATCTAGTCCTAATAGTTGCCATTTGTTTGGTCCCTATGGAAATTGGCCGTTCGATCCCCGTCACAGCTGTTAGTCTTGTCCTAGTGGAAGTCTTCCGTTTAGTCCACATTGTCATCGTTGATCTGGTCCCAGTAGAAGTCGACTGTCTAGTCTCATTCATCACTATTGGTTCAATCTCGGTTGAAGTCGGCCATCTCATCCCAGTGGTTGTTGTTAGCCCAGTCCCTATAGAAATTGGCCATCTGATCCCCATTGTCACCTTAGGTTCAGTCTTAGTAGAAGTTGGCCATTCGGTTCCCATCGTTGACGTCAATCAAGTCCTTATTGTTGTCGTCGGTCTGATCCTTGTGGAAGTCTACAGGTTGATCTTCGCTATGGCTGTTGATTAGGTCTCAGTGGAAGTCAACCATCCAATCTCAATGGTTGCTATAAGTCCGATCCCTATAGAAATGGACCATCTAGTCCTCGTCAGCCTTATCCCAGTAGAAGTCTTCTGTCTGGCCCCTGTCTTCATTGTTGGCCTTATCCCAGTGGAAGTCTTCTGTCTAGCCTCATCGTCACTATCGATCCGGTCCCAGTGGAAGTCTACTGCCTGGTCTCTATCAACGGTGGTAGCTTGTTTTCGTCAACTTTGACAGTCTAGTCTAATTACCGTTGGATGGTCAATCAAAGCCTTCATGAATTTGAGTTAAATTACAAAAGAGAATGAGTTAGGATTTGAAACAATAGAAGTTTAGAAAGGATTTTAAATTACAAAGAAATTGAGATAGAACTTGGATTTAGATTTAGATCAAATTCAAATTTATACATTTTTAATTACCTAAACAATGAATTTAGCTCAAATTCAAATTCATATGTATCCAAACATTGCGTAATAGTCTTTTATGCATGTATAGTCCAATTGTTATAGTAGCTTAAATATATAGTTGTCATAGGATCTACTTATTTTTAACGAGATAATGTTACAGTTGCTCTTAAAGTATTTAAGTCATTTGATTTTTCTTTCATTTTATTTTTGACAAAAGAAAATTATGAGAATTATTACTAATAAACTTTATAAAGTATTGCAACAAAAATTTCAAAATATATTGAATGAAGAACATATCAATTAAAAGAATTAAATATTAAATTCAATAAGCAAGTAATAAAGTTTTTTAAATTAAATAGAACTTTAGATCCCAATGATGCATTCCTAGCCTCGAAAATGGAAATGGTCTTCAAAACTTTTGCATTCTCCATGAAGTATCTTGCAATTTCAAACTCACATTCTTAGCCTTTGTACTCTTGAAGAGTGAATTCCTTCAGGTGTGAAGAAAGGCATTGAGGAACATTCAATGTTAGTTCTATTAACACTCTCACCCAGTTAGGATCAACAGAAATCTGAGCACAAATACAAAAGTTAGAAACTACCTATAGAAAAGGCGATGTGCACAAAATCAAGTTGAAATTAAGAAGCTAACCTTATTAATCACAAGACTTTCAAGCTTGGGGCAGCTTTGTAGGCATTCCACTATCCGATTCAAGTGATCTTCATGAAGACGTGAAATTTCTAAATGGGTTAAATGGTCAAATGTAAGAATATCAAATGCAGGCAACTTGTCCTATATATTATGAAGACCAAGCTTAATTGGTTATAAAATTATAGAATGGAAAGCAACATTGCAAATCAGCATCATTCATACCCCATTTAAATGTAAGAATGTAACATTAGTCAAAGCTTTTGAAGTAATTAGAAAGATAGGAACATTTGCTAAAACCAAATGTTCAAGCTTTTCAATATTAATGGTAAAATCTTTCTCTTCCTGCTCATCACCATCTTCATCTTCATCTTCTTCCCCATCTTCGTCATTTATCCTCAAATCTAGTACCAATTCTTCCAAAAGTGCACACCCTAAACATTCATAATCTAGAAGTTCAACATTGACCAAATGCATGACTTTAAGAGAAGGCAACTTAATAAAAGAATACCCAATTGAACTTTAAAACCCTCATGATAGCATTGTTGAAGATGCTGGGGGGCGCTACAATGTCCTCATTATAATTGGAGTACAACTCAAAATACTCAACTTTGCAATTTATAGCTATGTTAATTCAAATATTAATCTTAGTGGGGGAACCTTTTTTTGCTAACCCATTTTTATAAATTTTCTTTTCTATTTTTGCCCTAACCCATCTCCTCATTTATAATTTAAATTTAAGATCATGTACCATAGCCATTCCTTTTATGAATCTCACTGCCAATATTTTCTCTCAATGGTTTTTTTATTTATAATATATCTTAACTAATACTTTAATATTTGTTTATACATGTGCGCGCGCACGCATATACACATATTTGTGGGGCGTGGAATAGTTGAATTCACCAGCAAGGAGGAGCACTTCTTTCCAATGACAGGTCCAGGCATCACTCATTGGGCCAAAATGAAAAATTCAAAAAAATAGGGGCCAAAAATAGATTTTTTTTATTTCTGTAAGCCAAAAGTATGAAAAATTATCAAAATTTTCATATGGGCCCTTAGATCCGTTCGTGCTTCTTCCTTGCGATCCCCAGCATGCACATTGAAAACGGTTTGGTCACACTATTCATGGTTTATTGATTTCCCTCTTTCAATAATTTTATAAATATCTAATTCAGTTTAATGTTCTTGCCTTTCCATCACTACTCCCTATACTCATACATAACACCTATCACAATTATATTTATGTTTATATCTATAAATAAAAAAATGTTATAAAACAACAATTATAAATATTTAATTTAATAAATTAATAAATACTATTATTCATGAGCAATAAAAAAATACTTTCAGTTATCAAACAAATCCAAGCATATCTCTTTCATTAATTATAGGAGCATCTTTCAACAGGTATATTTTAATTTTCCCATTCGCAATGCACATGGAGCCATAATAGCAGAGCACTAGTGTGGGCCCCTGATTCTTGTCAACGATAAATAAATAAATAAATAAATAAATAAATATATATATATATATATATATTATATAATCTATTATAGATTATAAATATAAATTAAGTTCATTAACGTTTCAATGAGAATATTCATTTAAAGACAAAAAAGTTATAATTTTTTCTTTTAATTTTTTAAAATAATTTAACATATTTCATTTTAAAGAATAATTTAATATATTTCATTTTATCTTTTCCATTTTCTACATCCATGGATAACATTTAATAATAATAATTGGAATAGGAATGAAAATTATCATTTATATAACCGTATGTGAATTTTTACATTGCCTATTACCTAATTAGTAATTAGTAAAACTAAATTCAATCAAAAAAATTAGTAAAAGCAAATAAAATATATAATAGAAAAAATATTATTTTTGATTTATACACTTTACTTAGATTTTAGTATAGGTCTCTATACTTTTTTTTTGGATAGTTTAGATTGTTATTTTTTTTATCTATTTGTAACATTAGTTTTTACATAGTTAAAGAGGTGGTAACGTGGCATAAACAATTATTAATAATACTAACATGCTAGTTAATGCAATTAATTTTTTGCTTACGTAATAAATTGATCTTAGATGAATTTTTTAAAAAGAAAAAATAAAAAAAAAGATGACATCAGATGAAATAAAAAGGCAACTTCAACTCTTAAATGATCAGCAAAATGCACAAATTAAAAAAAAACTTATATCTTCATTTTCTAGGCATAAAATACTCTAAGTTAGTTTTTTATTTCATCTGACATATTTTTTTAATTTTTACTTATTAAAAAATTTATATTAACATTAATTTCACACGTAAGTGTAAAATTAAAGATATTAATTGATATATCAATATTATTAATATTATTTATATTATATTTATATTTTTTAAAAAATACAAGCACCAACGTTTAAGCCAAAAAAAGGTGTAGAGACTTCGGAAAAAAAAACAAGAACATAATCCGAGACCTGAAAAAAGAAAATGCATGGCTAATAGTAGACTTTTCTTGGTATAATAATATAATAATGTTTTGTCTCCATCATCCTTTTTCAACCTAATAAATAATAACATTAAAATTGATTGATGGCGGGTGAGAGCAGAATGACGGTGATTCTTTCTCTCTTCTTTCCTTCTTTCTTTGTTTTTTTTGTTTTGTTTTGTTTTGTTTTTGTTTTTTAATACCCCAAGCCTGCAAAACTAACCCGAATGACGGCGACTCTCCCAACGTTCTGATGTCCAAAAGGCAAAACCCTGGTTTCATTGACCGTCTTCTCTCCTCTTCTCTTTGGCGTGTGCTCAGATCTGCAACATTTCGTTCGACTCTCATCTCCTACGATGACTTCGTCTGCTCTCGTCCATCCGTGGGTTTTTCTTTTCTTAAATCTTATTTCCTGAACCGATTAAACCTTGTTCAATGCCCCAAACCCCTAAATTCCATTATTTCTGTCATCTTGTGGTGATCAGTCCTAGTTAATTCCTCCAGTTTCCATCTCACTCGCGGAACTGCCGCCGCCGTATCCTGCACCACCGTTCCTGTATATCCACCCTCGCGGCGTTCACCTCCGTTTTCGTATTCGCCTCCATCACGGCTATGCCCACTCCCACTGTCGTACCCCCGGCCGCCGCCGCTTCCTCTTCCACAAGACTGAGCTTCGTTCACCCTAATGTCCCGACCATCAAGGCTCTGACCTTTCTTGCCGTCGATCGCATCGATCCCTCATGGACTGCTCTGATTCGAACCTCTTGACCTTCTGGTCTCGCGATCGTTCGATTCGATAATGTCGCCGAAAGGAGCAAAGGCCTTGCCGAGGGCGTCTTTCTCTCTTCCCATTATCCTTCAAGGGCTCGAAGGTATACTGTCTTATTATTAATAGTTTTTTCTCGTACTGTTTTCCTCAATCTAGAAATTCTAGTTATGTTTGTCGTTTGACTACCAATTAGGCCATGAATTGGTGAAAACAATAAAATGGCAGCAAAAGATGGTGGCAGTGAGGCAGACCGTGGCCAAACATTGCGTGGCTTCTCCCATCTGTTCAAGATGTCACTGATCGTATCAGGTACCAGGTAATCTTCCTTTATGGCTCAAAATACTGATATATTATTTCTTAAATTTCTGCCGATTTTCTTTTCTTTTAAAGTTTAACTGCCCCACCTGGTTAATGCTTGACTACTTAATTCAGAACTCCTAGTGAATATAATGTTATTTGGTATCTTTTTCATAGAATCCTAACATTTTATGATATATCCTTTCGAAAGGAGGGTCACTCTGTTGTTGATTGCTGGGTGGATTTATCATATTTTTTAATACCTGTTAGCATCCATCTTGTGTGTTACGGAACCAATACATCATATCTTATGGTCTGTGTCATGTTGTTGTATTGTTGTTCACTACTTCTTATGTCAATCTAAGAAAGAGTTTATCAATTAGAAAATACTGTTACACTATTGTCTATGAAATTGTTTGGCAGCCACATGCTTGATACATAAAATTGACTCTGCACAGCTTCCTTTTTTATAGATAACCATCACACCAATCTCCTTTATTATGATTGATGTAGGACTCGAGGAAACCACTATCTACATATACCACATATAGCTAATTGCATTCTTTTTCATTTTTCTCCAAGTGCTTTTTGTTGATTTTTTCTTGCATTTTAAATCTTTTTTTAAATATAAGAATATCTTTTTAATATGTACACTTCCTATATCATTTATCTATATTTTAGGTTTAAACTTGATGTTTTATTTAGCTTAGATATGTCTTCGAAAAATGCTTAAGGTTTTATTTTTTTTCTTGATATCCTTCTCAATTTTTAAATAAAAGCCATCATTTATGAAGAATGTTAATCAAATATGCATCATATTATCGAAGATTTATAGTCTTTTCTTTTAGAAAATATTTTTGATGTGGGACTTAAGGAAACCACTATGCAAACACACCTTGTATAACTCCTTTCATTCTTTCTCTTTTTTTCTTCCTTTTGCTTTTGTTGATTTTTTCCTTACATTTTAAAGATTTTTTTAAAATATATTTTTAATATTTGCACTTCCTTTTTTTGTATCTATATTTTTTGGACTTGATTTTTTTTATTTAGCTGAAATATGTCTTCATAAAGTGCTTAATGCTTTATATTTTTCTTGATATCTTTTTCTATTTTTAAATAAAATTCATCATTTCTAAATTATGGTAATTAAACACTCATAAAAAATGTATCATATTATCAAATATTTATAGTATTTTCTTTAAAAAAAATTATATTTTTGATGGGGACTTGGGGAAATCACCACGCATTCAGTCATATGTAACTTATTGCATTCTTTTTTTTTTAATGTGTTTTTTTTGTTGATTTTTTCCTTACATTTTAAAGGTTTTTTTAAGCTCATCTTTTTAATCTACACTTCCTATTATTTTTTGTATATTTTCATATAAACTTCATTTTTTAGCTTAAATATGTCATCGAAAAGAGCTTAATACTTTATAATTTTCTAGATATATATTCCAATTTTTAAATAAAAGTCATCTTTTATGAATAATGTTAATTATATATTCATAAAAATGTATCATGTTTTATGGATAATGTTGATATCTTTCCTAAATCTTTAAGTATAATTCATCATTTAAGAATTACGGTAAGCATATATTCATAGAAATTGTATCATATCATCAAACATTTATAGTATTTCTTTTTAAAAAATATATTTTTGATGTGGGAGTTGGGGAAACCACCATGAACACACTGCATATATAACTTATTACATGCTTCCTCTTTTTTTAAATGTGTTTTTTTGTTGATATTTTTCTTACTTTTTAAATTTTTTCTTTCTCAGTGCATTCTTTCTCTTTCTTGATTTTTAAATAAAAATAATCTTTTATGAATAATGTTAATCACGTATTCATAAAAATGTATCATATTATAAAACATTTACATTATTTCTTTCTTTCTTTCATGGAATTTTTGTTGATTTTCCCCACCATTTTAAATATTTTTAATAAATAAGGACACATCTTTTTAATCTTTGTATTTCCTATTATTTATCCACATTTTTTTTGATTAAATATGGCTTTAAGATGTGCTTAAAATGTTATATTTTACTTCATATTTTTTTCAATTTTCAAATGAAAGCCGTCCATTATGAAAAATGTTAATCATATATTCACAAAAAAATGTATCATATTATCAACTACATTTAAAGTATTTTCTTTAAAACTTGAGGAAACCATGATACATTTACACCATATATAACTCATCGTAAGCTTTCCCTTTTCTTTCCTTTTGTTTTTTTTCGGTTAATTTTTTCTTACATTTTAAAGTTTTTTTCTTTTTGAAAAATATCAGCTCATCTTTTTAACAATTACACTGCCTATTCTTTATCTATAATTTTTTTTAAACTTGATTTTTTTGCTTCTTTTTTTTAATTGTGCATATTATCAACTATATTCTAAAGTTTTTTTTTATTTTTAGCACATTTTTTAAATCTTGGATTTCCTATTATTTATGCATATTTTTTTGTATAAACTTATTTTGTAGCTTAAATATATCTTTAAAAAGTTCTTACTGGTTTACATTTTCTAGATATCTTTTTAAATTTTAAATAAAAGTCATCTTTTGTGAATAATGTTTAATGTATGATATTATAAAACATTTAAATTATTTTCTTTTTTAAAATATTTTTGATGTTGGACTTATGAAAACCACTATTCACTTACACTATATATAAACTCATTGTATTCTTTCTCTCTGTTTTTTTTCCCTTTTCTTTTTGTTAATTTTTTTCTTACATTTTAAAGCTTTTTTCTTTTTGAAAAATATCAGCTCATCTTTTTAACATTTTCAATTCCTATTTTTCTATCTATAATTTTGTAAACTTGATTTTTTTTAATGTTCATTTTGTGGATTTTTTGTTACATTATAATTTTTTTATTTTAAGCACATTCTTTAAATCTGCGCACTTCCTTTTATTTATGTATATTTTTGTATAAACTTCAATTTGTAGATTAAATATATTTTCAAAAACAGCTTGATGCTTTACATATTTCTAGATTCTAGATATAATTTTTAACAAAAGTCATCTTTTATGAATAATGTTTAATGTATGATGTTCAAAAACATTTACAGCATTTTCTTTTTTTAGAAAATACTTTTGATGTGGGACTTTTGAAAACAACCATTCATTTACACCATGTGTAAACTCATTGTATTATTTTTCTCTGTTCTCCCCCTTTCTCCCCCTTTTCTTAAGATTAATTTTTTTTCCCTTACATTTTAAAGCTTTTTTCTTTTTGAAAAATAGCCCATCCTTTTAATATTTCCAATTTCTATTCTTTTATCTATAATTTTTTTTAAACTTGAATTTTTTTTTTGCTTCTCTGTTTTTTTTAAATGTGCATTTTGTTGATTTTTTCTTACATTTTAATGTTTTTTTATTTAAAGCACATTTTTTTAAATCTTTGCACTTCCTATTATTTATCTATATTTTTGTATAAACTTTATTTTGTAGCTTAAATATATCTTCAAAAAGTGCTTAATGCTTTTTATGAATAAAGTTTATTGTATATTTATAAAAATGTTTGTTATTATAAAACATTTACAGTATTTTCTTATTTTTTTAAAAATATTTTTGATGTGGGACTTATGAAAATTATCATTCACTTACACCATATATAAATTCATTGCATTGTTTCTCTTTGTTTTTTTTTTCCTTTCCTTTTTGTTTTTTTCTTACATTTTAATGGTTTTTTCTTTTTGAAAAATATTAGCTTATCTTTTTAACATTTCCAATTTTTTTTCTATAATTTTTGTAAACTTGATTTTTTTTCTTTTGCTTCTCACTTTTTAAATGTACATTTTGTTGATTTTTTTCCTTACAATATAATTTTTTTTATTTTGAGCACGTTTTTTAAATCTTCACACTTCCTATTATTTATGTATATTTTTGCATACACTTCATTTTGTAGCTTGAATATATCTTCAAAATGTGCTTCATTCTTTACATTTGTCTAAATATCTTTTTCAATTTTTAAATAAAAATTATCTTTTTTGAATAATGTTTTATGTATGCTATTATAAAACATTTACAGTATTTTGTTTTAAAAAAATATTTTTGATGTGGGACTTATGAAAACTACCATTGAATGGCACCATATATAAATTCATTGCAATCTTTCTCTATGTATTTTCGTTTTCTTTTTGTTAGTTTTTTCCTTACATTTACAGCTTTTTTCTTTTTGAAAAATATCAGCCCATCTTTTTAACATTTGCAATTCCTATTATTTTATCTATATTTTTTTAAAACTTGATTTTTTTTTCTCTATGTGTTTTCCTTTTCTTTTTGTTAATTTTTTTCCTTGCATTCTACAGCTTTTGTCTTTTTGAAAAATATCAGCCCATCTTCTAAACATTTGCAATTCCTATTCTTTTATGTATCTATAATTTTTATTAAACTTGATTTTTTCTTTTGCTTCTCTGTTTTTTTTTTGTAATTGTGCAGTTTTTTTTCTTTACATTTTAGAGTATTTTTAAGCACATTTCGCACTTCCTGTTATTTATGCATATTTTTGTATAAAATTTTTTTGTTGCTTAAATATATTTTTAAAAAAATGCTTAATGCTTTACGTTTTCTAGATATCTTTTTAAATTTTAAATAAAAGTCATCTTTTATGAATAATGTTTAGTGTTTAATATATGTTATTATAAAATATTTACAGTATTTTCTTTTTTTAAAAAATATTTGTGATGTGGGACTTATGAAAATTACCATTCACTTATACCATATATAAACTCATTGCATTGTTTCTCTTTGTTATTTTTTCCTTTTCTTTTTGTTTTATCTATAATTTTTGTAAACTTGATTTTTTTTTCTTTTGCTTCTCTTTTTTTAAATTTACATTTTGTTTATTTTTTCCTTACAATATAAAGTTTTTATTTACTTTGAGGTCATTTTTTAAACCTTCGCACTTCCTATTATTTGCGTATATATTTGCATACACTTCATTTTGTAGCTTGAATATATCTTCAAAATGTGCTTCATGTTTTACATTTTTCTAGATATCTTTTTCAATTTTT